AACCTGTGCACTGTTGGTGGCAATGTAAAATGGTACAGCTGTTATGGAAAATATGGTGGTTCCTCAAAAAATTAAACACAGAATTACCATATGATCCAGCAATTTCCCTTCTGGGTACATATAAACTCATAAGAATTGAAAGCAGGGACTCCAAGAGATATTTGTACTCCCGTTTCTAACAGCACATTCACAATAGCCAATAAGTGGAAGCAACCCGAATGTCCATCAATGAACGAACAAATAAGCAAAATGTGGTACAGACATACAACACAGTATTATTTAGCCTTAAAAGGGGAATCTGTCACATGCTGTATGTGGATAAGCCTTGCAGACATTATGCTAAGTGAGATAAGCCAATTACAAAAGACAAATGCTGTATGAATCCACTTACATGAAGTCTCTAAAGCAGTTGAATTCATAAAAACAGTAGAATGGTGCTTATTAGGGACTAAGTTGAAAAGTGGGGAGTTAACAGGTATAGAGTTTCAGTTTCAGAAGATGAAAAGTTCTGGAGTTCTGTTTTGCAGCAATGCAAATAAATTTACACTACTAAACTATGCACTTAAAAAATGGTTAAGATAGTAAATTTTGTCATATTTTTATCACAATAAAAATAACAAAATATAGTTTCTCAATTTTAATTTTCTTTATCCAAAATTAAATCTCTCAATTTTCCAATCTACCTCTAAATTTATGAAAACCTCATAATATCGAAGGATTAACAGTAGTTGTCGCACTTCTATGTACCCTCATTCTTCTCTCAGTACCTTACAGCAGGCTTGCGTATCACCTAACAAGACTGAATCAGTCACCATTCTCTTCCCTCAGTTAATCATAAATGGAAATAGATTTCTTTTTCTTTTATTGTTTTTTTGACACAAAGTCTTGCTCTGTTGCCCAGGCTAGAGTGCCGTGGCATCAGCCTAGCTTACAGCAGCCTCAAACTCCTGGGCTCAAGCAATCCTTCTGCCTCACCCTCCCGAGTAGCTGGGACTACAGGCATGCACCACCATGCCCGGCTAATTTTTTATACATATTTCTATTTTTTAGTAGACACGCAGTCTCGCTCTTGCTCAGGCTGGTTTCAAACTCCTGACCTTGAGCAATCCACTCACCTCCACCTCCCAGAGTGCTAGGAGTACAAGTGTTAGTCACCACGCCCAGCCAGCCTATGAGATTCTATAAACAGTATGTTATTAAGATGGACAGTTCATCCACAAATTTTTCAAAAAATTTTTTGAGACTTAGTCTTGCTCTGTTGGCTGAGCTAGAGTGCGATGGCATCAGCTCACAGCAACCTCAGACTCTTGGGTTCAAACAATCCTCCTGCCTCAGCCTCCCAGAGTGCTAGGATTACAGACATGAGCCACGATTTCTGGCTAATATTTTCTATTTATGGTAGAGACAGGGTCTTGCTCTTGCTCAGGCTAGTCTCAAACTCCTGACCTTAAGCGATCCTCCCGCCTCGGCCTCTCAGAGTGCTGGGATTACAGGCGTGAGCCACTGTGCCCAGCCTGGAAATAGATTTCTGATTCTCTTCTGCAAGGCTTTAAATGGGTATCTCCTCTATTGCTCAGTTTTCTGAATGATCACTTTTCTGCCTGAAATCTATTTGAACATCCAGACAGAAGGCAGATGACTCATACAACATTTTAAAGGACATTTTGTTATTTTATTGCTGATATTCTCCTAATAGTGAAACTTGTATTTCAGCCTGATCCTGAATTCTCTCTGTTAGTTCACATGAGTCAGGCAGGGCTTGGTAGCTGGTATCGGTGTGGGTCGTACACACAAACTCATAGATCATCACACAAAAACATTATTAAAAATATAACCAAATGTTTAGACTCCTAAATGTTCTGATTCTCACCTCTAATAGCTTTAGACAGTTAGTAATTTCTTTCTTCAAATTGTCTTCTGCCAAGTCCCGGGATCTCTCTTCAAGTTTCACTCTTTTCTCCAACGTAAACCAGTCGCACTTAAATCCCAAAGATAACCTGAGAAATTCTGCCTGTTGTCAAAATGATGTGAGGCAGAGGAGAGACAATTAGATGGGGTCAGGTATTTCAGCTTAATTCCAGATGATACAGAGGCATTTCTTTCTCCTCCCAGCGACACAAAACTGGCATGCGCAGGCTTCCTCTGCACTTAGTGACTGCCAAGCTGAACAGACTCCAGGCGTATGAGAGCTTGTGCAAAAGTACAGAGCAACTGCAGCATGTGAGTCTGAAACACTTCTTTTTCTTTTTAAAAGAAAAACACAGGTGCTTTAAAACTCACCTCCACCTCCTTCTCATTAGCAGAAGTGCTGTGGGATAAGACAAAGAACTTATTCAAACATAATCCAACTGAAAAGGGAAACATGTTAACATGTTATGTGAAAGAAGCACTTACTTGTCACTTTGTCTAAAGTTAACTGATTTCACAGTAGTTACAGGAAGAGGAGAAACAGCGGTGTCTATTAAAAGACAGTAAAATGTTATTTGGTTAAGAAGGCTTAACATTTAAAAGCAGTAACAATGTTTCATATTTCATCCCATATTGTTGTGTTTTGTCTCCACTAACCAAAGCAATAATAACAGTAGTAGCAATAATACTAGTAACAATAACAGCAACAATAAACATGGCAACAAGCACACACTTATTATATGCCAGCCCCAGCACAAAGCTCTTTACACGTACCATGATTTTCTTTGAGAACTTTATAAAGAACAATATATTAGTTATTATGTAAATAACTTAGGATTTAAGGTTGAACAAACTTGGTTTAAATCTGAGCTTTAGCCTTGACTTCAGCACTATACAACTCATCCATGTAACAAGAACACTTTCACCCCCTAATATTTTGAAATAAAAATCATAGATAAATAAATCTGAGCTTTGTTTGATTCTTACAGCTATCTGGTCTTGAACAAGCCACAACCTCATGAAGCCATCTACAAAATAAGGCCGATATTATTTTTACATAGTAGCGAACTTTCATAAGAACTTTGGTGCCAGTCACTTTTCTAAGTGCCTCGTGCATAGTAACTTCTTCAATCCTCACTGCAAACCTTCTGCGGTAGATACCATTCCTGTCCACATTTTAT